ACCCTCATCCCCCGCCAAAAAACAGACAAAAGCTGTGTCTAGATCCTAATTCCTGGAACCTGAAACTGTTACCTTACTTGGAAAAGGGGCCTATGCAGATTTAATTAAGGCAAGAATCTTGAGATGAACAGGTCATCCTGATGACCAGGTTACCTTCAATCCAATGACAAGTGTCCTCATAAAAGAGAAGAGAAGGCACAGACCCTCATGGCAACACAGAGTATCTTAAAAGCATAGGGTTCAGTGAAAACAAGAAGGAAACAGGGTGATGTATCATTTATGCAAATAGAAATACACAAGACAGTTCATAAAAATGTATTCAAATGGAAAGTAGACATTAAATATATTGTGAGGGCAGTTTGTATGGCAGGAAGATGGGAGGTGGGTATGGAGATAAGCCTCTGACAAAAGATACAGAGACGAGTGACACAGCCACAAGCCAAGGAATGCCTGCAGCCACCAGAGGCTAGAAGAGGAAGGAAATAAATGCTCCCTTAGAGCCCTTGGAGGAAGTATGACCCTGCTTGAGTTTGGACCTCTAGCCTCCAGAATGTTGAAGAATTAATTTCTCTCACAGTTTAAGTAAGCCACCTAGTTTGTGGTCATTTGTTTTGGTAGCCATATCGTGGGCCTCGCTGAGGTGATAGGTGGGAAACATTTCTCTGGTCACCCTCAATTATCTGTATACGTAGGTCTTTCTTCAAGCTTAATAGTTTCCCACAAAGAAAATGAACTCCCCACCGACGCTCTGAGCTCCTGCCAGATGGCTCTAGTTCTGAGAGTCACACAGTCAGGTGGCCTGGAGGACTGAAACTCAATGTGTGGACTATCATTTAAACCCTCCTGTTCTAGCCGCAACATATCATCTCCACTCTCAGATGCACCAGATGTGACCATTCCCAGCTTCTCCCGCTCGGTCTCTATGGGGAGTAAGACTTCTTTGTCTGGGGCGAAGGCTGGGTGTGGCAAATCCCTGTCAGCACTGTGTGTGGGCAGAGATCTAGAATGCTGGGGGAGAGGACTGCCAAGTGTTCCTTACAAGGACCTTTGACCAGTCCTCTTATTTTTAGCACCACCCAGACTCCAGCTCTCAGACATACCTAGTGCCTCTAATTCCCGGGCCTCTCTAGGGCCCTGTAGGGTTACAAAGCAATCATTTTGCTTTATTAATTGGCATTCCTCATGCAAGAAATTTAAACCTTAGCTTTCCCACCACTGGGTCAGTTGCCCTTTACTCTCTATCTTCAAAAATTGTTGACATCTCGCATCTGTTCTTTTTGTCACTGTGCCTGTCTTAAATTTTACTTCCTGTGTTAGTAGTTACAAGAGATGACCAAGTGGTTCAATCTGCCATGTTTAAACAGACCCATCACCTTAAATGTTTTCTCTTGACGAACTTATGCCACTCAGACAAGAAAGTTCAATTTATTCAGAAAAGTGTAAGACCCTCTAAAATCTACTGTGGTGTTTTCCTTCTTATCTTATACCTTTCATTTCCCCAAGTGAGATTTCCACTCTAAGTTTGGTTGCATTACAGTCTCTTCACTTTCCATGACAAGTCCCATCTTCCATTATGGTATGGTGCTCCCATTCCTGGAATTTTTATGCCCATATTTTCTATCTTATCTTATTACATATGTAAGCACAGAATCAGCCCAAACAGGTCCTGTCTTGTTTCTAGCAAGACCCAGAACCAAAGTTTAAACCTTGGATATACCACTTGGAGAAACACTTGTAAGGCCTTAACTGCTCCCCACCAAGCAATCAAAGGACCAGAACCTGACGGAACCGACCACCAGGACACTTGCAGAAGAGAAGGGCCCGCTGTCCAGGAATATCTGGTGCTGAAATTCCTTAAATCTTGCTCCAAACCTCCAACTGGGGAGACAGATTTGAGCCTTGTCTCCTGTTACCTTCCCGGTCAATCTTGTAATAATACCTTTTACTTTTCTCAAAAGCTGGTGTCATAGCATTGGCTTCTATGCACATCAGGCAGCAAGCCCTTGCTTGGTAACGCATTTTATATTCCAAACAAAATCCTGACACTTCACAAAACCATCTCTGATAACATCAGACGATACAGATTTGTCCCTTCCCCCAAACAAATGACCTGCATCTTATACTAGTCAGTAAAAGAACTCCCATTTCCTAATAGTTTCAAGTATTTGTGTTGCCCTCTCCCCAAAACATAAGGTCCTTGAAGGTAGGAACCAGGCCTCATGCTTCACATGCTCCTTACAATGCTTCCCATGGCCGTGGACACTGAGTACTGGATGAGTGATGTGCACTAATCCAAGCCTCAAATATGCTCTGATGTCCAATACATGATAAAGAATCTTTTGAGGGTAGAGCCTGTATCTTATTCAACTTTATATCCCTAACAACCAGCAAGAGTTTGACACAGACTGCCGAGTGACTAAATGAAAGGATGGATGGATAAATGAACTCTCAGCAGGTACTGTCTTCAATGTTGTACCTGATCTAAGGATTTTCTTACTTCCTAAGAATAATAAAGATGACTAGAAAGATAATTCACTACTGCATTCCCAACATGGGGAACACCACTCGGCACATAGGGGCTGCTCGGTCAATGTCTTCTAAATGAAGCTTCAATGAATGAATCTGCCCTGAGTCAGGAGCATCGGTTTACGGTTAGAAAGAGGTTAAAAGGAACGTGTGGCTTACCCGGAAAGCACTCCCAGGACTAGGTTGAGAACAAAGAAGGATCCAATGATGATGAGGGGGATGAAGTACAGCCAATTCCAGGTGGCTCCTAAGGCATCATTGGTCTGAAAGAAAGAAACATGGTTCCTTAATAATTCATCCAAACCATGTGCCAGCGGAAGGCCTCTGTCTTGCAGCTTCCCACATAGGATAATGTAATAAGCACAGCGCAATGCAGTTAGGCACTGCCTCGCTCCACTCCCAATCTGGCGTAACTGTGGGTTAACTCACTCTCCCATATGCGTAGAGAAGGACATTGCATCAGCCTCATGTCACATCCTGAGCTGCAATAGTCTTAACATCCTCACTTAACAGATGAGAGAACAGAATGCAGAAAGGTCAACCACTTTTCCAAGATCACGCAAACAATCCCTGGCTTTACAGTGTTGGATGCCGTGGCTTCTAAGTTTCTGCTTTCTGAATTGGACCAATTCTCAAAAAGACAGGGGCAGGCTGTGCCCATCCCTCTATTCCACAGATGCTGGCCAAGGCCTTGACAGGGTTGCATTGGGAGAAATGAGGGCCACCCACGTCCTGCTCAGCCCCTGACCTGACCTGACCTCTGGCTCTCTGGGCTCTGGCTTGCTTTCTTCCATCATAGTCCCTTATTACAGAGCTGGCCCAGGCCTGGCCCCAGCAAGGCTCTGGACAAAACAATGAATAAATCTAGATTTGAAGAGTGATCCTTGCTCTCTTTTGAATGCTAACACACAGTGACATGAAAAATGCATGATATTCTAGATTTTTAAAAATTATTTATTGTTGAAAGTATTACATGTCTCCTTTTCCCCCCATTGACCTCTCCCCACCTGCCCCATCCTCCAATATTCTAGATTCTTATACCGCAAGGTAAAGGCAAGGCCCTTGAATGGTGGGGGTTGAGGGAGCGTTACGCCACATGACTTAGCCAGCAGAAGCAACTCTTGCCAGGACATCATAGTAGGAGTTTGGGAGCATTTTGAAAAGCCCTCTCTAACACTTGAGCCTCTCAACTAAGCTTCGCCTTGACTCTCCCTCCCCACGATATCAACCCCAAATCTTTTCAATAGTCTTCCTTCAATTGCATTTTACATAGGCAGGGCTTTGAAATTCCCTCCAAAACATTAATACCTGATTGAAACTCAATTTCTGGAAAGATATTTTATCCCCAATTCACTGGAGAAAAAGGCATCCAAGTCAAATGCCCTGCCTCAAACTCACATGCTCAATTAGCGAAATGAAGCTGTGAACTTGGTATTTCTATGGCAAAGTGTTTCTTGTCTTTGTGATTTACATTCCACTAAACTTTGCAAACATATGTTGAGTCCTTGAACTCATGCTTCCTGTGGACTTCTATGACATTCTACCTTGCTTTCCCCCAAGTTATCTCATTTTATTTCTGCCTCCCATTCAAGTATGTCAGTCCATAGACTACAGCCTCCCACTGGTTATTATGGCAGCCATTGCTATACAGTAAATTTTCCCATTAAAAAAGAGCTTTTGAGGCAACCTCTTTCACCGAACTTGTACCTTTTGTTTTGCCCCTGCACTGTTCAGAGAGCTATGAGTGCTAATGAAGCAAAATAAAAGTTGTAAACAAACACTTCCTGATGGGACAAAGGCAGGGACTTGCCAATTTCAGCGCATAAGATGTAACTCTTTGGGTCGACCAGCCTGCCCAGGTTAGTGTAAGCAGGGAAGATGTGGGCCAGGCCTCATGACCTGCATCTTATACTAGTCAGTAAAAGAACTCCCATTCCCTAATAGTTTCAAATATTTGTGTTGCCCTCTCCCCAAAACATAAGGTCCTTGAAGGTAGGAACCAGGCCTCATGCTTCACATGCTCCTTACAATGCTTCCCATGGCCGTGGACACTGAGTACTGGATGAGTGATGTGCACTAATCCAAGCCTCAAATATGCTCTGATGTCCAATACATGATAAAGAATCTTTTGAGGGTAGAGCCTGTATCTTATTCAACTTTATATCCCTAACAACCAGCAAGAGTTTGACACAGACTGCTGAGTGACTAAATGAAAGGATGGATGGATAAATGAACTCTCAGCAGGTACTGTCTTCAATGTTGTACCTGATCTAAGGATTTTCTTACTTCCTAAGAATAATAAAGATGACTAGAAAGATAATTCACTACTGCATTCCCAACATGGGGAACACCACTCGGCACATAGGGGCTGCTCGGTCAATGTCTTCTAAATGAAGCTTCAATGAATGAATCTGCCCTGAGTCAGGAGCATCGGTTTACGGTTAGAAAGAGGTTAAAAGGAACGTGTGGCTTACCCGGAAAGCACTCCCAGGACTAGGTTGAGAACAAAGAAGGATCCAATGATGATGAGGGGGATGAAGTACAGCCAATTCCAGGTGGCTCCTAAGGCATCATTGGTCTGAAAGAAAGAAACATGGTTCCTTAATAATTCATCCAAACCATGTGCCAGCGGAAGGCCTCTGTCTTGCAGCTTCCCACATAGGATAATGTAATAAGCACAGCGCAATGCAGTTAGGCACTGCCTCGCTCCACTCCCAATCTGGCGTAACTGTGGGTTAACTCACTCTCCCATATGCGTAGAGAAGGACATTGCATCAGCCTCATGTCACATCCTGAGTTGCAATAGTCTTAACATCCTCACTTAACAGATGAGAGAACAGAATGCAGAAAGGTCAACTGCTTTTCCAAGATCATGCAAACAATCACTGGCTTTACAGTGTTGGATGCTGTGGCTTCTAAGTTTCTGCTTTCTGCATTGGACCAATTCTCAAAAAGACAGGGGCAGGCTGTGCCCATCCCTCTATTCCACAGATGCTGGCCAAGGCCTTGACAGGGTTGCATTGGGAGAAATGAGGGCCACCCACGTCCTGCTCAGCCCCTGACCTGACCTGACCTCTGGCTCTCTGGGCTCTGGCTTGCTTTCTTCCATCATAGTCCCTTATTACAGAGCTGGCCCAGGCCTGGCCCCAGCAAGGCTCTGGACAAAACAATGAATAAATCTAGATTTGAAGAGTGATCCTTGCTCTCTTTTGAATGCTAACACACGGTGACATGAAAAATGCATGATATTCTAGATTTTTTTAAAATTCTTTATTGTTGAAAGTATTACATGTCTCCTTTTTCCCCCATTGACCTCTCCCCACCTGCCCCCATGCCCCGATATTCTAGATTCTTATACCACAAGGTAAAGGCAAGGCCCTTGAATGGTGGGGGCTGAGGGAGCGTTACGCCACATGACGTAGCCTGCAGAAGCAACTCTTGCCAGCACATCATAATAGGAGTTTGGGAGCATTTTGAAAAGCCCTCTCTAACACTTGAGCCTCTCAACTAAGCTTCGCCTTGACTCTCCCTCCCCACGATATCAACCCCAAATCTTTTCAATAGTCTTCCTTCAATTGCATTTTACATAGGCAGGGCTTTGAAATTCCCTCCAAAACATTAATACCTGATTGAAACTCAATTTCTGGAAAGATATTTTATCCCCAATTCACTGGAGAAAAAGGCATCCAAGTCAAATGCCCTGCCTCAAACTCACATGCTCAATTAGCGAAATGAAGCTGTGAACTTGGTATTTCTATGGCAAAGTGTTTCTTGTCTTTGTGATTTACATTCCACTAAACTTTGCAAACATATGTTGATTCCTTGAACTCACGCTTCCTGTGGACTTCTATGACATTCTACCTTGCTTTCCCCCAAGTTATCTCATTTTATTTCTGCCTCCCATTCAAGTATGTCAGTCCATAGACTACAGCCTCCCACTGGTTATTATGGCAGCCATTGCTATACAGTAAATTTTCCCATTAAAAAAGAGCTTTTGAGGCAACCTCTTTCACCGAACTTGTACCTTTTGTTTTGCCCCTGCACTGTTCAGAGAGCTATGAGTGCTAATGAAGCAAAATAAAAGTTGTAAACAAACACTTCCTGATGGGACAAAGGCAGGGACTTGCCAATTTCAGCGCATAAGATGTAACTCTTTGGGTCGACCAGCCTGCCCAGGTTAGTGTAAGCAGGGAAGATGTGGGCCAGGCCTCCAAGAAAACTGCCTGATTCAACCATGAAGAACCAGATGTCAAGGGACTCAAGGGCTTTTAATAGAACTAGGAAACTGGTTTCTCTCTGAGATGGTTGAGACATAGACCTTCCTGTGAGCTGCAGGATGGACTGAATTATCTCAGTACAGCTAGCTCTGTCTTTATTCATGATTATAAAGGCAATACTTTGTAGGACTAATTAGCTAGGATGGTTCACCAATGATACTCAGGCCAACGAGTTTGTTGTTTTTTAATATGTTTTATTTATTTTAGAGAGAGAAGAAGGCAGAGAGACAGAAAGAAAGAAACATTGATAAGAAACATCAATTGGCTGCCTCCTGCATGCCCAGTAGGGATGGAGCCCACAACCCAGACATGGAACCCTGACTGGGAATCAAACAGGTGACCTCTTGGTTCATGGGTCAATACTCAATCACTGAGCCACACCGGCGGAGAAAACCAACAGGTTTCATTCACTCTATGGCTTAGCCAGAGTTCCCCTCAGCGTTCTTTGTTAGCAAGGACTGAGTCTGCTCCCAGCACCCAGATCAGAGTTCAGTTGCCAATAAACATTAGTTGGTGTCAGCGATGGCGACGATGACATTGTGACCTTTAAGGTGTCTTGGGGCCCAGGAGTGAATGAGCTACAGTGTGAAGAGAGCTAAAGCAATTTCAGTTGGGTGACTATTTGCCGGAGATGCTGTAGAGCAAGCATGTCAAACTCGCAGCCCGTGGGCCGCATACCTTGTTTATTTGGCCTGTGTTAGCCTTTGAGTTTGACATGCTTGTTGCAGAGTGTTCCCCAAATTGTGTGGTTGTTGCCTGAGGTCGGTAGGCTATTCATATGTTCTGCGGAAAATGGGCTTCTATAACCAAAGAAACTTGGGAAACACAGCAAATTATATTTCCCCCCGAGCCTGTGAGAAGACCCACACACAAAAAAGGAGCATTAACTTTGTTTATTTCATCTTTTTATACACTTCCTTGATTATAAAACACCCTTTCTCAAGGAAAATCCGTGTTCTGCGGAAAATGGGCTTCTATAACCAAAGAAAGTTGGGAAACACAGCAAATTATATTTCCTGCCCCGAGCCTGTGAGACGACCCACACAAAACAAGGAGCATTAACTTTGTTTATTCCATCATTTTATACATTTCCTTGATTATAAAACACCCTTTCTCAAGGAAAATCCATAAACATCTCAGGAAGTAGAGCCTGTGAAATGCAGGGATAAAAGGACTCCCCTCACGGCCCCAGAGTCTGGAACCTGCTTCCTAATTCTTCTAGAAAATACCAATGATGAACAGTGTCTTTTTATTCAGTGTTTTGTGAGAATGTTTTGGTTTTGCTATAACATACACTAAGGCAACAGCCTTAACTGTCTGCTCATTTCTGTACCTGGCACCTAACAAAGTGTTTGGCACATATAGTCGCTCAATTAATCAATAAACAACCATGATTTGAATAAGATGATTCTCATGTTTGAAATATACCCACAAAAAATCATTCTGATATCCCCCTCTCCATCTGTGCAGCTCTGTCTGAATTGCTTAAAAAAGGAAAAAAGTCATCCACTATGGCACTGGGGCCTGTTGCATGAACAAGAGAGGAGGAGGGGAAGATGGGGAGAAAAAGGAATCTGGGAGGAGCCCAGCACCAGCCAGCGGCATGACACCCGGGGAGGGTGTTAGAGATGACTGACAGCTTAAAAGGTTCTTCTGGAGAAAACAGCTCGACAGCCCAGAGATTACTCACAAACTTTTTTAACAGACTTGCCACCCCCTCTGAACACCTTTCTCCTCTCCCTCCCATCCTTCCTCCCCAGGTGGCCTCACCCTCACATCACCTCGCCTGTCAATGGATCAATGACACACCCAGTCCCTGTGCTCCAAGTCACATGCCTCAGCAGGAGGGGGCAGGCAGAGGACTTCACACTTCGCTCCTCCAAAAAGGCAAGGTTCTTTCTGATGCTAATTAGAGCTTCAATCTCCTTCTGACTCATCATTATTAAAACAACCATAAAGTTGTCCAGTGTAGGAGAGATGACTACTAAAGTGTCTTCTGAGATTCAACAAGAAGCACGAAACCGACAACTCCCAGGGCAGCAAGGGCCCCGGGACCACGTGAGGTCGAGTCAGGGCCGCCAAGCAGAAAACGCTGACAGCTGTGCCTATTCTCTCCGGGGCATGTATGTCTGTACCCCAAAGGGGGTGGGAGAATTTCTCCCTCTCCTTCCTTCTCCACGGTGCCCCCTGCCGCCATCCTCTGCCTCTGTGACTCTGACAAGAGGCTGGTGCGCAGGATCATCACACTTTATTTTCCCTCAGGACTCACTCTTCCTTCAGAAACGGGGCAGCCGTGCTAAGGTCTCTGACTGAGCAAGATCCTGGGGAAGGAGACCCACAGCTTTCCAAACGCATCCCCCATGACTCTGGCCCCAGGAGTGTCTCGCAGTGAACCTTTCCCAGATCTCTACTGTGGAGCGCCCAAGTGTAAACCAGGCCCCTCCCTGCAAAGAAAGCTACACAGAGGGCCAGCCTCCTCCTTCCCACCATCATGGAGCACCTGCTGAGTGCCAGGCATCACAGAAGCAGGCTACGTGCTATGCTTTGTGAGCAACGTCCTCTTCATCTAAGATGCTGCGTCCCCTCCCACCCAGCCCAGCGCAGCCCCTAGACTGGCAGGCCGGCTGTTTCCCGCCTTCTCACCTGCCGAGTCCCTGAGTGACACACACATGCACACGTGCACACGACGGGGTGGTGACAGACAGAAGGCAGTTGCGGGTGGCAGCCCACCTGCACAGGCGTGCTCAACGGGGCCCAGTCCTGACACAGAGGGAATGTGCTCCTCTGGGAAGCTGCCTGGTTGGGGGTGGTGAGCGCACCCACTCCCTGCGTACACAGGCGCACACGGCAATTATCACATTAATCTCAGGGGGACTGGGGAAGCTGGAGGAAGGTGGGGGAGGAGGGTGGAAGAGGAACAGAGGGATGGCGACAGCAACAGGAAGGGGTCCCTGGTTCTCCGGCCTGAGGCTGCACGGGCAGGGCTGGCTCCGCCCATGGAGACAGGGCTCTAGGAAGGTCCCACAGGGCTCTGCGGAGAATGGAAAACGTGAACTTGCCTCTCAGAGCAGCTTTGGCCTGAGGCTAAGTTGGAACTGAAAATAGGATACTGACTCCAGGGTCCCTTTTTTAAAAAAAAGAAGGGTTTCTGGGGTACACCTGCTCCCCAGACTGAAGGCAGCAACCTGCTGGCAAGCCCTGGACTGAGTGACAGCGGGTTGCTCAGCCTGGGCTGGAGAACTCTTCGTTGTGGGGTCTGTCCTGTGGGGTGCATTAGCAGCATCCCTGGCCTCTACCAGGT